TCCGTGCCCCTGCAATAGACAAACCAAGGTATAGAACAAGGAAGGGAGAAATTGCCACAAATGTATTGGGTGTGTGCTCCCAAGACATGCAATTGATATATGTCTTGCTTGGATGGGAAGGATCTGCTTCTGACTCTAGGGTACTTAGAGATGCTGTCAGTAGACCCAATGGGTTAAAAGTCCCTACTGGTATGATAATTATATATTGTTATATATATATATAAGTACACTATATCTATATTAAATAATTATTTTGTTATATACATAGTGAAACCATCTTACATAATTGCAGGCCATTACTATCTAGTAGATGTGGGTTACACAAATGGGGAGGGTTTTCTTGCACCATATAAAGGATAACGTTACCATCTTTCCACATGGAGAGAAGGGAATGCCTCAACAACTCCACAAGAGTTTTTTAACATGAGGCACTCTTCTGCTCGTAAGGTCATTGAGAGGTGTTTTGGACTACTTAAAATGAGGTGGGCAATATTGAGGACTTATTCTTACTTTCCAATCAAGACTCAATTTCGTATTATCACTGCATGTTGTCTTCTCCACAATCTCATACAACGTGAAATGCCTTCGTATATCACTGCATGTTGCCTTCTCCACAATCTCATACAACGTGAAATGCCTATGGATCTTGATGATGATGAGAACGAGGAAATGAATCCTCCTCCTCCAGCTACTGAATTAGGAGATGAAATGATTGATGTTGTTGAAGCATCTGATCAATGGAGTAAATGGAGAACTGCCTTGGCAACCCAAATGTTTAATGAATGGCAAGCAAGAAGAGGTCAATAAATTAGTGTTGTATAATGATTTTTATGTAATAGCGAGAATTTATTATGCTTTCTTAATTCGAACCTTATTTGTTTAGTTTTTGTGTGGTATTTATAACAAATGTTGTGTAAGTTGATTTGTTATTTATGATTGACATGTGTGTTATGATTTAAACTTATGATATACATATATATATAGGTATGGATGACACAGGTACCATTAGTTCTCGTAAGAAGAGGAAACCTCGAAGGTTTTGGAATCATCGTGGGGAAGTATTCCTCGTTACAACCATGAAGGATGTAATAGCAAGTAATCCCAGGTGGAAGCTTGATAATAACCAGTTTAGGGCAGGTTTCTACAATGAATGTGAGAAGAAGATCTTAAGTGCATTTCCTGGAACTGATCTTCGAGCCAATCCTCACATCGACTTGAAGATTAAATTTTGGAGGAAACAATATAATGCTCTGCAAGATATGTTAAACATAAGTGGTTTTGGTTGGGATGATGAACAAAAGATGGTGCTTGTTGATAGTGACGACGTATGGCAGAACTATGTCAGGGTAAATCTCATTTTTATGTTGTTATTTGTATGTGTATGTACTTATAAATCAATTTGTTCTTTTTAATAATCACATAATCACTTGTGTAGAGGGTGCCAGATGCAAAAGGGATGCGAAACAGGCCATTCCCATTCTATGAAAATTGGCTTATTCTATTTGGGAAGGATAAGGCAACTGGTGAACTGGCTGAGGATCCTGCTGATGGAGTTACAGCCATGGAAAAAGATGATGCCAATGCAACTACAGAAGAAGGAGAACAGTCTCCTGTTGAACAGTTTAGTATGAACATGGTTGATACGGATTACTCAATGTCTACTGCAGGTAATATTCCTAACCGTGCTGATTCAACTAAAACTGAGAAAAAGCGGGCTCGACCTACTGAGGGGATTCCCACTGAACTATCAGAGATGGCAAAAAATCTTGGATCATTCATTGAGAATACTAATACTACGATGGTGCAGATTGCTCATAGGATAGGATATTCACATGACCTATCCCAACAGAGGAGGTTGGTTAATGCAGAACTTCTGAAGTTGCCAATGAGTAATACCCAAAGATTGATGGCAGCATCTATGATAGTGAAAGATGAAGACAAAGTTGACTTCCCCAAACCTCCTTGCCAATCATTTTTATGTTGTTTATTTGTATGTGTATGTACTTATAAATCAATTTGTTCTTTTTAACAATTACATAATCACTTGTGTAGAGGGTGCCAGATGCAAAAGGGATGCGAAACCGGCCATTCCCATTCTATGAAAATTGGCTTATTCTATTTGGGAAGGATAAGGCAACTGGTGAACTGGCTGAGGATCCTGCTGATGCAGTTGCAGCCATGGAAAAAGATGATGCCAATGCAACTACAGAAGAAGGAGAACAGTCTCCTATTGAACAGTTTAGTATAAACATGGTTGATACGGATTACTTAATGTCTACTGCAGGTAATGTTCCTAACCGTGCTGACTCAACTAAAACTGAGAAAAAGCGGGCTCGACCTACTGAGGGGATTCCCACTGAACTATCAGAGATGGCAAAAAATCTTGGATCATTCATTGAGAATACTAATACTACGATGGTGCAGATTGCTCATAGGATAGGATATTCACATGACCTATCCCAACAGAGGAGGTTGGTTAATGTAGAACTTCTGAAGTTGCCAATGAGTAATACCCAAAGATTGATGGCAGCATCTATGATAGTGAAAGATGAAGACAAAGTTGACTTATTTTTCAGTTTAGATGAGAATGAGAAGATGGAGTGGGTTTCTTTGCTATTGGAAGGTCATATTTAAATGTGACATCTACTATATGATGGTCTTTTTGTTTCCCACATGACTTGTAATATATTATGTGATGCATAAATATTATAGATTGGATAGTTTTTGTTGCTGCAATACTTTATGATGGTCTTTTTGTTGAGTAAATGTTGCTCCTGTAAATTTTGTAGGTTAGGTTAGTTAGTTTCTGCTTATCAGTTTGCATGGCAGTTGGGTCGAAAAAACCTTTGACATTTGACCTCATTGCATGATGGTTCTTTAACTTTATAGCATCTATGTAGTGCTCCTCTTGCGTGTTTTATTGGACTATATTGTTATCTATTCAATGTTATGTATGCAGGTGCGTTGAGCTACAAATTGATTTCTCTGGTGCAAACCAAGTTTGTAGCAAGTAGACTTCATCAATGTACAAAATTCAAGTGAACCTGGTCTTCTTGTGAAATGGATGAAGAGGGTTGTTCAATTATGGAATTTATTATTATTGTTAGTTTAGTTCTCCTTGGACTCTCTTTAATTCTACTGGAATTTTTCTGCTACCTCATTGATGTTTTATTGTGATCAATTCTCTTGATAATCTTTGTTTTCGTGTTTTGAGATCTCTGGAAGCGATGGCCTTCAACAGGTAAGGTTTCCACTTGTGCATTTTAGAATGAGCCAACAGTAATGTTACACTTACACATCAAACTAATACACACAAAATATGTGGTTCAAATTTATTTATTTATCACAGTAGTTTATTTATTTATTTATCAGAGTAGTCCAAAAAGGTAGTCCAAAAAATGTACAAAAAAATGGCTTTTAACGTGTCTTGACTATCAGAGTAGTCAACTTATTTATTTGCTTTTGTATTGGACTCATTAATATTAAAAAAAATTTAAAAAAAAAACACATTGAATAAACAAATTTGTTGATAATTAGATTCCTTAATATTAAAAAAAAATAAAAAAAGAAGAAGAAGAATATTGAGTAAAAATTTATTTATTCTTTACTTGGTATAAATCCAAATTTAATAATATGCAATAAGGGTATTTGTGGAATTTCACATGGTTAATCCTATCCCTATCTCTCAAAACAAATTTGAACTTTACTACTCCATTGGTTATCAAACAAACATAATTTTACTAATCCCCTTACTAATAATTTTCTCACTATTAATCTCCTCACTATCAATCCCCTCCCTTCTATCACTGAAATATCACTGAAAACAAACGGGGCCTCAGGTTCAATGCTCATCCTGGACCCTCATCCAGATAGAGATAAATTCTTCTTGAGCCTTATCTTTATCCAGACTGAGATCCTCTCATGTTCTAAGACTCTAATCTCGGCCTAGCCAAGATCATCTTGGCAGCATGATCAGGCTACGTGGTACCTCAACTGACACTTCGACATTACTTTAGCCATGTGCTGCCATTCACAAAATACTTCCCCACAAGGAGGATTCCTCTTTGTCCAAAATCTGGATTCGAAAGAGTAATTTGAGTCCATAAGATCCATCACGAGTCATGTTCTGATAATTTAAACTATTTATTTTTGTTCGGCACTTCGTATATTTCATCCATAAAAAAAAATAAAAATTAGGTTGATCTAATAATTATAATGTATTCAATTTACCGTGTTTTTTACTAAAAAATTAGACGATAATTATATTGTTAAAAAATAAACCATATACTTTTTTAATTACAAAAATAATAAATTGAATAAGTTACAGCTATTCGATCAACTTAATTTTTTTTATAAATGAAATACATGAAGTGACTAATAAAATAAATAATTTAAATTATCGAAACGAAAATTATAATGAGTTTTACACATCCAAACAACTCCTCCAGTTTAGATTTTAGACGGGAGAAAATCATCTACATTTGGATTTGTAGTAAAAAAGGAATTCAAATCAATAATACTAGGCATCATAAAAGAAGTATCATGAAAAGTCTTTATGAAAAATCTCTACCATTGGATTAATTTATAGTGTTTGTAATGTTTTATTGTATGTTATACAATCACCCTTGGATTAGTTTCATGAAATTTTTCATGATATTCTTTTCATGATGCGTAGCATTACTCAATTCAAATTCCACAAAAATAATACTTACAGGCAAAACCATCCATTGAAGAAAGGGCAATGGTAGAGGGCCACAATTTTTGTGGCTCAAATGGTTCAAAACTGTTAAAACGACGTCGTTTTGAGCACAAAATATGTCAAAACGACGTCGTTTTGACAGTTTTAAGCCATTTGAGCCACAAAAATTGTGACCCTCAAACATTATTCTTGAAGAAAAAACATCTGAAGGGTACTCTGGCCATTTCAACTGAGAGAATAATAACCGACTTTCAGTCAGTTATATAACCACACCAGGCCCACTCTCTCTCTCGCTCTCTCAACTTCCTCTCTCTATAACTGTAACCTCGAATCCATGGCTACAACTACAGCTCTTCCGCTTCAAATCTTCGTCCTGATCTCTATCCTCCTCTCCAATTCCATCACCGCCGCCGTCAGGGGCGGCTCTTCTTCAAACTCGCAGGAGACACCACCGCCACCGTTCCAAGAGCACGCATATCCGTCATCTCTCTTCGGCCCCATCCTAGCCAAACTCGGCTTCCATGGATTCTCCGCCGGCGCTCCATCAATCTTCAACGCCACCACATGGAGCGGCCCCACCACAATCTTCGCTCCCTCCGACTCTTCTCTCCTCGGCTGCCGTTCCTGCTCCGTTCCTCTTTTCCTCCGTGAACACACCGTCCCAGGCCTCTTCCCTCTCCACTACCTCCGCACTTTGCCTTTCGGCACCAAGATCGAAACCCTATCCCCGGGCCGATGCATCACCATCACGTTCTTTAACGCTTCTCAAGTCTACGTCGGCGGCGTGAAGATCACTCGTCCAGATCTCTACAACGATGGCCTCGTCACTGTTCACGGTCTCCAAGGCTTCATGTCTCATCTATCGCCGTACTCTTGCGAGGTAGAGCGAATGACTTCTCTCTCCTTCCCACATACACCTCCTGCGTCGCCGTTTCTCATGCGTATGATGTTGAAAGACACGATGCACCGCCTCACCATCAGCGGTTACGGCGTGGTCGCTCTAGCGCTGAGAGTCAAGTATCCGGATCTCCTGAACCTTCACTCTATGACGGTGTTTGCTCTCGATGATGTCGCGATCTTCTCCGGAGCCGGATTTAATTACGTCACTCATTTCAGGTTCCATATTGTGCCTAATAGGCTCCTGATGGCCACTGATTTGGAGAGTTACCTGACAGGGACGCTGTTGCCGACGATGGAGCATGGGCAGAAGCTGGTGGTGACCACCGACGGACGTGCCGGAGTTTCAAAATCGGCTATCGGTATCAACTACGTGAAGATCAAGAGTCCTGATTTGATGTACAACCTCAAGATCGTCGTTCATGGACTCTACGTGCCGTTTCCACACATTCATCGGACGGTTGCGGAGGATTTGAGCCAGGTCGGAGGGTCAGGAGACGCACCAAGGATCCTCTAGAGTGAAATTTCCCTAAAGTTTCCTAAAGTGTTATATTGTGTGGTTGAGATTTACTGGCAAGTCACATCAGAAAAATTGATGTGACTTGCCAGTAAATCTCAACCACACAATATAGCACTCTAGGAAACTTTAGGAAAAAATCACTCTAGAGGATCCTTGCTCCAGGAGACGTTGTCAGAAAGCCTAATAACATTCTGGAGATCGTGGTCCCCACGCCGGTGATTGAATCGACGGTAGAGATTGACGATCATCATAGCCTGTGAGATCTCTGATTCACTTGCATTACTACTTCTAGATGTACTGGAATAAAGCTCTTACATTCTTTCTGCTTCTGTTTTGTGCTTTGTAGTACTTGTTCTTAACTCAGAAGCACTTCTTAGTTCACAGCATTGAGTGATTGTACACTTCCATTTTTCTAATTTGGGGAATTCAATTGCTTGTGTTCCATGAAATTCTATGAGATTATTCTCCTTTTCTTAGATAGTACTTCATATGCACTGTACACATATACAGTTTGATTAAAATTTGAGGTTAAGTGCAACGACATAAAATTTAATAAGGTGAAAAAAAAATTTACTATATGAATATGAATCTATGATTATTATCATAGTATTATTGTACAAAATTGTCCTAAAAAAGACTGTAGGTTGGTGTTGAATTGCACCAAGGATCCTCTAGAGTGAAATTTTCCTAAAGTTTCCTAGAGTGCTATATTTATAGCACTCTAGGAAACTTTAGGAAAAAATCACTCTAGAGGATCCTTGCTCGTTGAATTGATGGTTTATTTATTTATTTATTTTTATTTTTGCAATGGTCCAATCAATCATTAATAAAATTGAAGTAGTGAGAAAAATTAATAAATAATTATATAAATGTCAAAATGTCTCAATTGAAGATCCCGCTAACACTACAAAGGAGTATTTGGGAAAAATGGTTAAAAATTATCTTTTAATTTTTAATTCATTTTGAATCACATCATCTCTTATATTTTTTATACGTTTTTTCAAAAAAAAAAAAATTTAAAATGTCAACTTTTAACTATTTTCTTAAAATATGCCAAATTAGTTGAAAATTAAACATCTCACTAACGAAAATTGGATTTAGACCACACATCATTTTTGCAAAATAAATTTCATCACGTATTTTTGAATTCTTTTCTTTTTGGTAAAAGGAAGCGATGAGATATCTCATAGATGCTGAGAGTTGTCTCTGTGAGTGAGGCCCATAGATGCTGGGTTGTAGTGAGGCTTTGTTAAGTTATCTATTCCATTGATCTTAAGAATTTTTTTCTTTTTTTTTGACATTGAACTTAGATCTAATAAGCCTGTACAGTGGTGTTAGTGAAACTAGGAATATATAATGAATTTTATTCCTATAAATTTGGGGTGTTAAAATGAACATTTTAAGAAGATTTGTACATTCAACGTCGACATTGTTCTCCTTTTATTGAAATACAGAATCATTTTTCTAAGGCGGTCTCCATCGTTTACTCAAATGTTTTATGAAATTTAAATTAGATGAAACACGTCCCTTTTTCTCTACTCCAATCAAAGCATCAAACCCATATCAAATGAAAACGATGTTAGATGTTTTATCAAATCAAATGAGCGTTTAACTTTTTATCAAATTTCATAGGTGACCATTAGTGGACAACTGGGTGGATAATTGGCTAGTCAATCGGCTGGATGCCCGACGGGATAGCCGGGTGGATGATCGGCTTGGGACAATTTTGCTGAAAATTTGCTCTAAGACAGACGACCGGCTGAACGACTGACCAGATTTAATGAAACGATTGGAGCATAACATATCAAATTAAATTTTTACTCAAATTTAATAAAAAAAATTAGAACAAGCGTTGGAGATACTCTAATGAATGAGATTTTTTCTTAGATTTTTACATTATATCTTAGTTATGTTCAAAATAGTAATTTTGACCCAAATAATAATTATTTAATTATTTATTTTCAAAACTAGTAATATTGTAGTTAGAAAGCCCCATTGACAAAAATATTTGTTGACAATTTTAAGCTAAAAAAGGAAAACCAAATTTTTTTAAATCATACATATTTTAGCACAACAAATTTGAGTGTCAAAAGCATGTTGGCATGTTTTCAATTTTATCAAAGTAAGCCATTTATTTATTTATTTTTTCTTTTTTCTAATAGAATATATATATATATATATATATTTATCAACAAAAGTTAGTTGTTAGTTGTTAAATTAGTACTGAGAGGGTAAAAAGAGTAAATCTGGGCCGAGCTATGGGCTAAGTGGAGTAGGCTTCACCGTTGGGCCTAGTTAGCTCGGTCTTAAATAACTTAGATAGCCCAGTTGGAATATGTCGAACCGAGGTACAGGAAGCTGAAGGGAGGAGCCGAGCTAGGTGAAGCTTGGTCGAATCTACCGCCTAAGCATGGCAATATTAGCTTGGTCGTTTTGTCATACCGAGCTAACCTCCTAAGTATGTGTTACCTCGATTGTTTTGTCATACTACCGAGGTAAAACTATTTCACTTGGTTAAAGCAGTGATAAGGGTGTTAAATGATAAGCATCATCTTTTACAAATGTGATTCCTAGGTGGACTCTACATTAAGGAGTAACAGTCCTACTAGGATTATGCCACGCGAAACCTATAAAAGTTCATAACAGAACCTATGTACAGGTATCACAACTTTGATTCTCGAATACACAGAGCTTTTGTCTATTTGTCTATTTTGCTGACTTAGGCATCGGAGAGGTATCCGGCACACACCCGCCAGCTAGCTCACGTTTGTGTTTTCAGGGAGTAAAGCGACGACGTTTGGAGGAAGCGCAAACTTGATCAACAGAATTATACGAGAAGATTATTTCGTGCTTGTACAATTGGCGCCGTCTGTGGGAAGTTCACAAAAACAAAACCTCTTGATCACGTTTTTCTCTCTAGTTGGAAGCAATGGCGCACAATGAAGACTTGCCGCAATTCGCTATTGATGGACAAACCCCGAAGTGGGGTGGGGGGCGCGAAAGTTTACCTTTTATCCCACCCATGGCGGATTTAAAACCCCAGCGACGGAACTCTCGGAGGGACACAAGGGAGAGATGGGGCATTAGCCCCCGTCGCTCTCAAAGTCCTGAAAGGTAGAGGCGGAGGCTTGAACCTCAAGTTTTGGAGGATCGCATAAGGGAGCAAGACTAGTTGATCAGGAAGATGGCGGCAGACATGGAGACAATGAAGCACCAGATAAAAGGAAAAAGGGGTGGCGACAGGAGAGGGGCGTAAGGGCAACACGCCCCTTCGCCACTCAGAAGGTCATGACAGACACACCACACCATCGCAAGCAGAAAGTAAGAGCCTCAAAACAGGCGATACTCAGTCAAGGACTTCCAGGACTCGTCACTCTAGGTCTGAGAGAACAAGGACTAAAAGGTCATATACAGAGGAAAGCAATTATCGCCCCCCGCACACGCACCAAATGACATCTAAGCACTTGGAGTTGCCTAGATCATCCGACCTACGAACAGTGCTCGAGGAGAGGGCTTGATGGAAGGAGGACACCAGGGCTCGCGACCCACGCAGAGTTTCAGCCCTACAGCGGTGGGCCCCTAGGACGCATAGAAGTGTCGAGGTAGGGATGGCAATGCCAGGCCTTGCTTACGAACCAGCAGACAAAGTATTAGCTAGGTTACAGAGCTCGCCATTCGTTCCGGCGATTAAGAACGCGCCACTACCTTCAGGCTTCCACTAGCCCAAATTAACTTTTTACGAGGGGAAGACGGATCCTTACATGCACTTAAGCCACTTTCGCCAGGTTATGGCAGTATACCGGTGTAACGAGGCCCTAATGTGTATCATGTTCCCATCTAGCCTTGGCAACCTTGGTTTAACTTGGTTCGAAAGGCTATCGGAAGACAGCATCACCTCATGGGCAAAATTGGCAGAGGCGTTCGTGACTAGATTCAAAACGAACACCAAAACACCAGTGGAGATCGGCCAGTTACTCTCCATTGACATGGGTGTAAAAGAAACATTGAGGTCTTACAACATTCGCTATTGGGAGACTTTCAACCAGATTGGGGATTGCTCTACCAATCTTGCCATTGCACAATATAAACGGGGTTTACCAGTCGGAAACAAATTAAGGGGCTCAATAACAATGATGTCACCCCTCACGATGGAGGCCCTAATGAAGAGAGTGCATCAATACATCCGAGTAGAGGAAGATGACACCCGTGCTAAAGTAAAATCTAGCACAACAACGATGCCAGATAAAAAGACTATAGCGAAAGTCACACGGTGGAACAGCCAAGCAAGAATGGATGCGGCAGGCGAGCCAACAGAGAGGACCCAGAAAAAAGGAACTTAAGAGTCCGCACTGTCATTACCACCGTATTCAATAAACCTATCTACTGGATTCTGAGTGAGATACGTAATGAACCTTTCGTTCGGTGGCTAGCTAAGTTGGGAGAAACACAAAAAGGTTATGACGAGAGATCCCGGTGCACCTTCCATGACGAAAAGGGGTACCGCACTGAAAATTGCACGCCATTGAGGCAACATCTGGAGGAGTTAGTGGTAACTGGGCACTTAGACCAATACATAAAAGGAGGGACACAGCCAGCCCCCCAAGACTACAACAAACCAAACGGGATGCTAGACGATGTTCCACCCTAAGGCGTGATTAACGTCATACATGGGGTCATCGAACCTGAGTGAGTATGCGAACTCAGGGGGATGATAAAAAAGGCTGAGCACTTGAGGGAGGTATTAAGTGCACAGCCTACCATCAAAAAGGACAGAACGGAAGCCACGAATATCATATCCTTCTCAAACAAGGATCTAGCAAGGCTATATTGCCCTCACAATGACGCACTGGTGGTGACTTTGGGCGTCAATAATTTCGACATCAAACGGATCCTGATTGACCAAGGAAGCTCATGTGAGATAATGTATTATGAAACCTTCAAACAGCTTAAATTAGAGGACAAAGACTTGGCACCTGCGACATCTCCCATTGTCGGATTCAACTCGATGCCAGAGTGGTCAGTAGGCAAGATAATCCTCCCAGTCAAGGCAGGAACCATGATAAAATAAGTAGAATTCTGGGTATTGAAAATCCCTTCTACTTACAACATAATCTTGGGAAGGACATGGCTGCATGCCATGCACTTAGTGGCATCAACCTACCATCAGGCATTACAATTCCCCAACGAAACCGGCGTGATTGAAGAAGTCTTAGGAGACCAAATCATGTTGAAGCAATGTTTCGTCACAGTAAATGGAAGTCGTGCTGCAAAAGGGTTTGTGCAGATGGTGGAAGAGCCAGAGAGCAATGAACTGTTTACAGATGTTGGCAAGACCGAACAGAAGGCAGTGGAAGACTTGGTAGAGGTAAGGATAGATGAAAAGAACCCAGAAAAGTTCTTTTTGCTCGGCTCGTCATTGTCCAGCATTGA